ATGAAAGTCAAGAACAGGTTCAATTAATACACAATGATAATGGCTAGAGTCCTGTTGATCTTCGGGCCAGGTATTTCCAGGGAAAGACCACAGAGGAGCCTCCTGGGTGCGAGAAACATTCTCCATCTTGACTTGTTGGGGTTTCACGGTATGTATGTATGTGTAAACATTCACCCAGCTGTACACTTAAAATTTGTGTTCTTACTGAATATCACATCTCAATTCAAATAAAAATGTTTTAATTAGGATGTCAATAAATTGAAGATGATTAACCTATATCTTGAAAATTAAGCTTTCTAGCTATATGGACTCCTTTATGTTTAGTTTTCACTTGTAAGCGCTAAGACTAGAGAAAAGGCATCACAGTGCCTCTGTGGGACAGTCGTAGCTCTCTGTTTGAACCTCAGAAATGAAGAAGCTGCAAAAGCTAGATTCCCCTCTTCGTAGAACATTCTCCCTCTGTTGACTACTGAAAAGAATCTGGATTTGACTTTGTTAATGGTAACAGTGGTTTTCGTTACCATTAACTATTGGGTGTGGTGCTATGATCCAAGAACCTGACCACAGACTGAGAACCTAGTTGTCTGTAGCACTGCCGAGCAGAGATGCTGAACATGGAGACAATTCGAGCACACACGCCTGAGATCAAGCCACGTGTAGAAATGTTCTCTACTAGTCAACCAGAAAGAGAACAGGATTTGTCCAGCTAGCAGTATGACTGGTGTTCCACACAGCATCTAGGTCTGCAGAAACCATATGTTGGATCCCCTGATGGGAAAACATGCATGTAAAGAGATCATCTCCATTCCCATTCTGGGCAAGACATGTAATGTAGGCAAATGAAGCATTCTACTTGCCACCCCTTTTAACCACTTGCCTTAGTAGGTATTTTAAATTTCATTCTGTTTCAAATAAATCTCTAGTGTCAGCTCCATTTCCTCCATTTTTAGGCACTTCTAGTGCATTTTATCAGACCTAAAATAGCCTGTAAAATAGTAAAATTCACAGTTAATGAGCCTGTGTGCCTTTGCCTTTGTAAACTTTTGGATCTCCCTGAAGTATCAGGATTCTTTGGTGCAAGTGGTAGGAGCTCCTGAACCAAACAACTCTGCTCAGAGGGGCAGGGTCAAGTACAGCCCCCAAATGGGGGCTGGGTGACATGTAGATGGGTGAAGATGGAAGGCAGTTCCCCCTAGAGTTTGGGGGTCCCAGAAGGTTGAGTGCTGAGCAGAAAACATCACAGATGTCACGCCAGTAATGCTGATGGAATGGTTTCGGTGTCTTCAGACAAACAGGCTCTCCTATTGTTTTCTTTGGCACTACATGCCCTCCCCTGACCTCTGTTCCAGGGTGCCCATGCTCTGTTTGCCAATCAAGCTGGGAGCCAACAAATGACTGAGTAAGGTGGGATTGGGGGGGAGGGAATAAAAAGGAACTAGTTGAAAGAAGTGCCACTCGAATGCCGCAGTTGCCATTTCCAAACCTGACTGACCCACTGTTCCATAAAACAGAACTCATATTCTTCACAAATGTGATATTTTAACCTTCTGATATTCACTCAAATTTATTCTAGTCTTACGGGAAATTGGCAAATACCTACCAAGCTTCAAGTATCTTTTCCTGGATTTTTCTTAATAACTTAAGTGATGAAAATATCACCACCTTCATATGTCCTCCTCCAGGCCCTTTCTCCCAGTACTGGGGGACAGA